TTTTGGCTGTAGATCTACATGTGTTGTATGCATGTATGTACACACACTGCAACCATTCATCGACCAACTCGAAAAACTCCATTATGAAAAAATCCTCGATGCAAATTTTTCACTTTGATGTTTTTTTTAATCCGCAACTCTTTAGGGCTCAGTTGTCACCATGACTATGTGAGCGTTTCACCCACACTAGAGACTACGAATACAGCTGCAATAGAAGATGTAGATGAACTGTTTAAATTAGGCAGCTTACTAAAGCCGTCCCACTTTTTATCACAATGTTAACTGCAGGGGTGAGTCTAAAGGGGGGCATGGGGTGTTCTAGGCCATATTTATTTGAATGATTTTGCAGATTTATATTAATTAAAGTGTTTTATTTATTAAATGGTATTGTATATAATATTTAAAAATATAAAAAATAAAACTGCTAAGTTGCACACTGAATCATTACTAGCATTAATTGTTATTATTAATTATTAACAGTTATACCAATAAGAATGTCACTTTTATGCTGACATGCTAGCTTCTCTTCACTGACTGAATATTTACTATTGCTCAGTGATAAGACATAAGTATTTCTAATCCGATTACTTGATTAACTCGAGTACTAAAACAATATCGATAGCTGGAGCCCTATATTGGATTACCGTATAGTAATGCCGACATTCATCAAACAATTTCAAAGAAAAGTCCAAGTTCATTGATTTTCTCATGTCGCGTGTTGGTGTACCCACTGTTTTTTTTTATTAACTCGCGAGCTGCTCCCTTGCATTTTTGGAAAATCCCAAAGTGGGTTTTTTGTTTGTTTTTCTATAAGTGTCAAGTGTTTGATGTAAAGCAAAAGATACATTATTTTCTATAATTGTTGCTGTATGTGCTTTTTGCGCTGTAGTGCCAGTACGTCAAATGTAGCCAAGCTGGAGGAGATGGAGCGCCTGCTGAGAGAGGCGCAGGCCGAGAAGAACCGCCTCCTCGAACACAAGGTCACTATTTGATTTATTCATATTTTCACATTTTATTTAATGTTAGAGAGATATGTAGCGTTAAAGCCAACATGCAGATCAGTCGAGTATCTTTGTAATAATTCCAAACCTTAAAGATAGAGGTGCTACTTCATTTGCCCAAACTGCAAAATTGTTGTGTTTTTTATGTGTGTGTCATTAAATAACCTGTGACTGCATCTGAATCGTTCTTAAGGAGCGGGAAATGGAATTTCGAAAGCAGGCCTTGGAAGAGGAGAGGAGGAGACGGGAGGATCTGGAGAAAAGGTTACAAGAGGAGACCAACAGACGCCAGAAACTGATCGACCGCGAGGTGAAGCTTCGAGAAAAGCAGAGGGTGCAGGTAAGAGCTCTGGGAAGAGCTGTGGATAATAGAGGTTCTCGATCCAAAACATACGTATGAACTTCAAGGGAACTAACCTTTTACCTTCTTTTGACAGTGCACTCTGTCTTGTTTCTGTAGCTTACTTTTATACATTTCAGACTAGGGCTGGGCGATATGACCCAAAATTCATATTTCGATATTTTTAGCTGGATGGCGATATACGATATATGTCTCGATATATATATTTTTTAAAGCCATAAGGTAAGAACAAAAAGACAGTTCTTAGTCAAAGCTGTGTCCCAGATGTCACACAGGCACTTTTATTAACATACAGCATAGATGTACATGAAGCAATTACTCAAAAAGAAATTATCAGCATTTATTAAATAATCATGCTCCATAAATAAAAGAAAACAATGTTGTTTTTGTGCATAACAAAAGCTCAAAATTGTGCAGTCAAAATGTAAACTAACAGACGATGAGCATAATAACAAAGACAGATTTCACAGCTGCTCTGTTCCCAAGTTCTACTGCGTGACTGACAGCCTGGAGTTTGAAATCCTCTTTGTAACCGTGTCTTTTAACAGGTGCCATTTATGGCCCTTATACACACACAATACGGTAATATTACGTTGAAGCACAATACGTATCACTCCACGAGGCTCCAGACTACGGTAGCCGTAATGCTCCGACAATCCATCAAGCGGTGCAACTTCGTAGCTTACCAAAGTCGTACTAAAACATTTTTTGACAGATTGCTGAGCGCCGTGTACCACATAAAATCGGTTCGCGGTCAGATTTTAGGCCATGCAGCTCCTGTGGGCTGCATGTCGTTAGCGCGGTTAGCTCGCTAACACATTGACGCCGACCAGCCCCACGCACGGGGCGATCCGCGGTAACTCGTTAACGGAGATTTGCCGTGTTCACCTTGTCGTTGCCTGCAGGTGAAGCTATGGGGGAGGGGGAGTTGTTCAGTGAAGGAGAGGCGAGGCCGAGTGAGTTTGCGTAGAGATAAAAGTGGACGAAAGAGAGGCAAACTTGCGGCTCCACAAGTATAATTATAACGTAACATATCAATATAAACGATATTGTCACATCTTACATCTCGTATGAAGATATATTGATATTTTTAAAATACTCGATATATCGCCCAGCCCTATTTCAGACATACTTACAGCACCTCCTTCTGCATGGTTTTAATCATGTCTGTGTTGACAGTTCTCATAGTAAGCTTCATTTATCATCTTTAGTTCTTTTTCCCGGACCATCAAATGTTGGCAGCAGAACAAAGAGAGAGAAATACTCTGATGTTTCCTAATGTATGACTTTCTGTAAATCTTTGTGTTTTATAGGAATTTGGTAAAAACAAAAGAATTCATAAGAAATTATAAATACATCTTTGTCATTACATTCTCAAATGATTCCTCTCCCTCAAGTCCCGGCCTCTTACTCGGTATCTGCCTGTGAGGAAGGACGATTTTGACTTGCGGGCTCACATTGAGTCGGCGGGCCACAGCCTAGACACGTGCTTCCACCTGTCCATCTCTGAAAAGACCTGCCGAGGCTACTTGGTCAAGATGGGAGGCAAAATCAAAACGTGGAAGAAACGCTGGTTCGTCTTTGACCGCAACAGACGCACACTATCCTACTACGCAGGTAAGGACAGCACACACTTGCAACCACACTCAGCAAAGTCTGATTAAAAACAATTAAAAAAACTCTCTGTGTAGATAGAATCACACACATAAATGTTAAAGTTGTGTATTTCTTCTAATTTGGCATGTACTCGTATGTTCTCTCCAGACAAGCACGAAGTCAAGTTGAAAGGAGTCATTTACTTCCAAGCTATTGAAGAAGTATACTACGATCACTTGAAGAATGCACACAAGGTATGCATTCTCCAACGCTGATACAAAAAGTGCATCATAACTCTTTCTTATTCATTCACAATTCATTCTCTCTCCCTCCTTCAGAGCCCAAACCCCTCCCTGACCTTCAGCGTGAAGACTCACGATAGGGTCTACTACATGGTTGCTCCCTCTCCCGAGGCCATGAGGATCTGGATGGATGTGATCGTCACAGGCGCTGAGGGATACACTCAGTTCATGGTGTAGTGAAGCAGATGTACGGGCCTCATGTTTTTTTAATGCTGCAGTCCTTTGTGGGTTTTGAAGACAAAAGTATCAGCTCCTTATTTTCCTCCTGGATGAAGCTTATGTGCATTTGTGTTACACAGATAACACTTCATGTTGTGTTACAGAGCTCTCATGTGAAATTGCGGGCAGATATTGGACAGTTTAACAGTTTAAGCGTCTTCAGAGAAGAATAAAGTTTTTTTGTTCTGATTTTTTTATGTAAGTTAGAAACATTAGTTAAACCAGAGCTGACTTTGGTCTCTATATTATGCCCTACAGTGTTCAACATCTTATACAAACTGTATACATATTTCCAATATTTCCAAAGAAACGGGGGGAAAGGCATTTAAAAGCATTTGTACATTATGAAATGCCTCATAATCTAGTAAAGGTATATTTTTTATTAAATGAATTCATTTCATGTATGATTAATGGGGCATTCTCAGGTCTTAAATCTGTGCGTGGATGTGCATGCATGCATCATATGATCATGTGTGAGTATATACACATGTGATGAATTGCCTGCTCTGTGTGCGCGCGCAGGCACTCTGTGCACATTGCCTATTTACTATGGGCTTTTCCTGTAGCTCCAAGGTGCTATACTTGCACGGTAAATGACACTAATGTTCCAAACCACACTCGCACAAACCAAACTAATCAGCCCTTCTCTGAATGGATGCAGATGCCGGGTTTACAACAGTGTCAGCATAGGTAACGTGTTAATAAAACGCCAACGTATTTGTACATTTTGCCTGCTAATTTCTTAAATGTTATGACATGTATGGTCCATTATCAACTAAAGATGTGTGTTTGTGCCTTTTAATCACATTTTAAATATTTTTTTAGCACTACATGCATCTACATACAAAACGCCAAAGTGGTGAGAAAGTACGCTAGTGTGGAATTGCGGTCCTGGATGCTTTTTTAAGGAAGAACTTCAGCAGGATGAAGTTTTATTGTTAGAAGTCAAGCAGACGAAATCTATGGTACATACATTTATTTGTCCTAAGGTGGCTGATTACTGTGCTGCTGCTTTAGTCCACTACATTTCATTACATTGCATTTATTACCACTAATTTAATGTGTTTTATTTTTTTTAATGACTATTCCACTATGATCACTAATGCTGCTTTGTGCATTATACTCCACACTGCATTGGCATATTTCTGTCCGCTGATAACTGCATTTATAATCTTGCCTCCTGTGTTTTTGCGTGCTGACCAAGCTTTATACATATGTGATACAATGTATATTTGGTTTCTTTGCTTTGAAATATCTTTTAAGTGGAATATTGTCTGTTTCAACATGACGTGCCGAGCATATTTTTACCAAACTAATGGAGTTGTCACAGAGGAAGCTTTCATGTGTTTTAATTCATCCAGTATTTTTATATAATTAATTTTTATGTTGATTTTACTGTATTTATGCCAGTACCATTGCATGTATCTTAATTTTGTATTTTCATATGAATAATAAAAAAGAATATATAATAAATATAATCATTTGTGTTGTTTATGTCTTGAGGAATACCTTTCTATGAGAACAGTGGAGCTGGAGCATTTTACAGGTTTCCACCAGCAGTATTTCAAACTGTGCTGTAGTGAAACCTGCCACAGATCACTAGGATAAAGAATCACAGACAGTAAAGACAAGAAGTCTTTATTTAAGTTCAGCTGAAATGTATTATTACCTGTGTGAAACTCCTGGAATAAACATCATATGTGTCTGCACTCTCATTTGTCCTATGTTACAGTTACAGTACAGACAGGTGAAATCCACACAGCCAGCTCAGAATCAGGGATGCACCTACCTTACTCCACCAGCCTAAACTAAGCTCAGGACATCTGTTCCAGTTCATAGATACAAGGCCTTACTAAGTAAAGCACACTCCCCTAATCAGCCTGACACAATATTAATAATAAATATTTTGATATACCGGTAATGAAACAAAAGAAAATAGTCAAGTATCATGCAGCAGAAAGACGTGTCTGAGATTTGTAAGAAACTACTTAAAAATGGATTTTTTTTGTGTGGATACACCTGCCTACATACCTGGCTGAAGGGGGCGTGGCTCCACCTCAGCTCCTCACTGAGCCATATTACAATGTGTATAAAATATCTGTGGCCTACAAACTATTACACACACACTGTGCTCACATGTTTGTGCTTTCACATTAGCTCGTCCAGGTACTCTCGGCACAGAAATATAAGTGGAGGAAAGGGTGTAGTCGATTTGGATCGGTTACCCATGATTCAATGCGGACATTAAATAAGTCAGACAGATAGCAAGGTTTGTATAAGTGCTTGGCGGAAAGTTCTCTGTGATTTTAGTATCCGTGATTTATTCAACTTCCGTATTAAAATGCAACTCCTCTGCCCTCACTTTTTTTTCACACACCCGTGTGTAACTGTATGTGACAACAGCGCCCTATTTATAAGTCTGACTCTCTCAACGAACGTGGTTGGTCCGAAGACAGTGGGATGTGGCACTTCCGCCCGAAGACCCACAAAGAGCACAGTCATCATTCGCTCCGTGGATCACCATGTGGCGCCAAATGTGAATCGCGATCTTGTTTACGCGTTTGAGGTTCTCCTTGTGGATTTCTATGATGTTCAGAAGGTGAAGCTCAACCACGTCAACGTGTTTGCGACTCACATCTGGGTCATCTTGTGCTTCACGGAGCGGCTGATGCCTGTGCTCCTTGTGGGTCCTCGCCACTGTCAGTACTGATCAGCCTTTTAGTCTATGCTAAAATGATAATATTACCGGCCAGTGAACAGTTACGTTTATTACATGACAGCTACAATGAAAAAAAAATTGTCTCACAAATGTAACAATATTTTCTACTAAGGTAACTTTATTTTATTGTAGTCAGCTGTATGTTTATCTTCATTGACCCACTGTATGTGACTGAAAGCTGATTTGAATTCCCAAATGGATCCAGGTTTAGGGGCATGGAGTTTGAGTGCCGCCATGTGGCAGCCATCGGTACTGTCACAGAGTCTGCTGGGATGCAGTACTGGCATGGTCAAATCTAAAACACGGCGGCTTATCTAGGTTGATTATTTATTAAACTGTCCGTGTATCTGCAGTTTGAGTTGCCTGTACCACCCCCGACAACTGAGGAAGCGATCCTCAGGACTTTCTATGCAGGCGCTGTGGAAAGCATCCTGGTATGGGAACAGCTGCGTTAAGGATCAAAAAGCTCTTCAGAGACTGATCCGTACGGCAGAACGCTGCTGCAGGACTGCTCTCCCCTCCCTACAGGACATCTACACCAGGAGATGTTGGTCTAGAGCAGCTCAGATACTGAAGGACCCCTCCCTTCCCGGTGTTGTCCGGCAACAAACTGTCCAACTTCTACAATCAGGCAGAAGGTTCCGCATCATTCGGGCAAGAACAGACAGACTCAAGAGGAGCTTCAGCCATATTCCATATAAATCAGGTAACATACAAAAATAAAAATAGCTTCAAATACAGTCATGACAATAAAAGAATATGACTTTAAGTACTTAACAACATTACTTCAGTTATAGTGCACCAACATCTCTTACACATTAGCACTAAGGGAACACTGAATGACCTGGTGGTTTTTGTCCATAAAACTACTCGTCTAAGATTACCACAAAGTAAAAGATCTCTCAGCAAAATTCTGCAACATTTTAGGCACAATATTGCCCCGATCAAATCAGTGAGCTGGGGTTTTTTATTCTAAACATGAACTACTGTTACAGCAACAGACATGAACTACTGGTGTCCCACACAACAACTCAATGTCCACTATGTGAAGGAGCCAAACACATGTTTTCTCCTCTCATTAACTGAGATGAACTGCTGGCATATTTGTTTTACATCTATACTGTCCAGTCTCTCCTGGTGGACATGGCAAAACGTTATTCATGGTTACATACAATTTTAGACAGATGTGGGCCAAAGCCTGGCACATACTTGCCATACTTGAGACCTCAGATTTAGGGAGACATTCAAAAGGGCTGTTTGGGGGGGATATATACAAAAAACTTGAATTTTACAATGTTTATTTATCGGATAAAATAAGTTAAATGTCACCGTTATTAGAAACAGAAACAGGCCGGGGGTGTCCAAATTCAGAGGCTGCGTCCACCTGAGGACCAGGTGTTGTGACAAAAAGTGATTGTCTGCCAAACACTGATTGCTTGTATTTAAACTGCTATAAATAACTTGTTGGTCTATAATATGTGAAACATGTGTCAAATATATCCCTCATAAGATAAGAAGAGAGATAAGATAAGACTTTATTGATCCCACAACGGGGAAATTTTTGCATCACCTCAGCTCAGGTACAGATATCGGAATGAAACACAAAAATACAAATAAGTACAATCAGTGAAAAAAAGTAAGATAATACACTATATACAATGGTAGCATACACAGTATGTGATTATGGATATGGTTGAAAATATGGAAGACATAAACTATATAGCTTGACATAACTATTGTACCACTACTATTCCTATTTATAGACATGTACACACACACATGTACACACTAAATATACATATGTATATATATACCTGCACATGTCCATACACATGGAAGGTCCATTATTCATGAAGTGGTGACCGTGGATGTTCACAGTGTCCAGTGAGTCATGACATCGTGATTGAGGAGTTATAGAGTCTAACTGCTGTTGGGATGAATGATCTGCGAAAGCGCTCCTTCCTGCAGCGAGGGTGTTTCAGTCTCTGACTAAAGGAGCTGCTCAGCCCACTCACATACTCATGCAGTGGGTGATGTGGGTTGTTCATGATGGATGTCAGCTTTACTAACATCCTCCTCTCGCCAACCACCTCCACAGACTCCAGGGGACATCCCAGCACGGCGCTAGACCTCCGCACCAGTTTGTCAGTCCTGCTCCTGTCCCTGTCCGTGCATCCACTCCCCCAGCAGGCCACTGCATAGAAAAGGGCAGATGCTACCACAGTGTCATAGAATGTCCTTAACAGAGTCCTGCAGACTCTGAAGGACCTCAGTCTCCTCAGCAGGTGGAGTCGATTCTGGCCCTTCTTATACAGGATGTCTGTATTTGTAGTCCAGTCCAGTTTATTGTTGAGGTGAACACCCAGGTACTTATAAGAGTCCACTATCTCAATGTCTTTCCCTTGGATGTTCACCGGTGTTGCAGGGGGTGACT